GTTTCTGGAGGGTGAGCCCTGCCTGTAGCAACCAGGGCTGGGGTGGCACTGGCCCAGGAGAGACCTCAGAAGGCTGAGGGGGGCTGTGGCGGTGTAGGAGGCAAGGGTCAGGCATCTCTGGCCCCAGGGTCCCCTGGAGCCCCCATCCCAGGCCGTGGGGCCATGACGCCTGGCGCCCAGTCCCAGCAGCTCCTTGGCCTTCCCGTCTGCATCCTCCCTTCCTTCCTTTGCCTCCCCGCCTCGCCGCCTGCCCACCCCCTTTCCCTTTGTTTACTGCAAGCCACCCCGGTGCGTCACCCACTCCTGTCCAGAGCCCCCCACCCTCCAGGAGCCCCGGGGAGGCTGTTCCCCGACCCCACCGAGCACTGGAAGGTTGTGGGTGGATCTGTTGAAAGCAGCTTGGTGGGTGGGGCGGCTTCCCCTTGGCACCCGTGTGGGCCGCAGTTTGTCAGATGGGTTTTAAATAGCCCTCTCCACTTGGGCACAGGATGGGAACCACCCGGCAGTCCTAGCAGCTGGTGGGGAAGCCCCAGCTCCAGCCCTCCTTCCTGAAGGCCCAGGTGCAGCCAAGACCCACTCCTGGGAGCAGCTGGCATGCCTGGGTGCTGGCAGGGCACCAACAGGCAGGGGAACCTGAGCCAGACCCTACACACGTGTCATTGGCCTACATGAGTGGGAGGAGGGGGTCAGGCCTGCCTTGGGCCTCCCTGCTGCCCTCCACTCATGCCTGCCTCCTGGGAGGTAGGGTGTGAACAGGTACCTTGCACATGTCCTGGGCAGGTGACAGGTAGCTCTGGCCACCTGTGGGTCTCCTAGGGGCTGCGTCCTACCAGGTCAGGCTATGCCCCTGCCTCTAAGGCTGAACCCACCCCATCTTTCAGAGCAAGGTGAAGTACATCAAGCAGACCAGCGCCATCCTGCAGCAGCGCTACGGCGGGGACATCCCAGCCTCTGTGGCTGAGCTGGTGGCACTGCCTGGCGTCGGGCCCAAGATGGCACACCTGGCTATGGCTGTGGCCTGGGGCACCGTGTCGGGCATTGGTGAGTGGCGCACACTCCCAGAGGGCTGGGCTAGCTCTGGCCCACTGGCTGCTCTTGGGATTCCCCACATCCTGGTGACCTGTGTTTCCACCTCCAGCATCCTTATTCCCCACTCAGCCGTAAGGTCAGAAAGGTACTCACACAGCTAAGCCAGGCCAGCCCCACTCAGAGACAGGTGCTGGGGCAGGAGCTCCCAGGGGTGGAACACCTGTGTATGCGGGGCTCTCAGGGAGGCCCCAGGCTAGACTCCCTACCTGTGCTGTATTCGGGAGCAATGTGGAGGGTGGAACTCCCCCTTTGTGGGGTGGAAACACTGATGGTTGTGCAGGGAGCTGCTGGGGGCCTGGCCTGGGCCCAGGACCTCTAGGAAGGCCCCTGAGGTCATCCTTCCACTGAGAGCTGCAGGGCAAGGTTGGGTGAGCCAAACCAAAAGGAGGAAGTGTGTTCCTGGCAGAAGGAACAGCATCTGCAAAGCAGGGAGGCGGGAGAGAGGGCCAGGAGCAGGAAGTTCTGGAATGAGATGAGGGCAGAGTGGGGAGGTGACAGCTGAGAAGGGAGTATCACCTCGGCAGGTGGCGGGGGGAGGAGTACTGAGAGGGAGGTGCTGGGGGCACGGGGCAGGGAGGGTGGGGTGGGAGCCCTCCCTGAATCCTTTTCCCAGGTCCCGGTGTCTCATCCTGGCACCTGAGGCTTTTTGGCAGTGAGGTGAAGACAGACCCCTGGATTTGGGGTGGGGCTGCCTCCTCCTGAGCTTTGCCCAGAGGATTTGGGGCACCTAAGGCCACATGCAGCCAGATCCAGCGTCTAGAAACCAGGGCTTGGCCCTGCCCTCTGTGTGTCCCCATCCCAGGCCCGTTTGGGACTCCTGCAGGGGGCCTTCCAGCACTGCCTGGCAGCAAGAGGGCCACCGGGGGCTGAGGGCCTTGGTTCTGGGCAGGGGGCTATCTGGTGAGGCAAAAAAGCCAGAGCCAGGCCAGGTGCACCGGGGCAGGGCTTCCTCCCACCCAGACTCCCAGCGCCACCACCTGCCAGGCTCTCAACAGACACTTGAGCTTATCTGGGTGGCTGTCCTTAGCTGCCCGTGTCCCTGGAGTGCTGCATTGTGGTTGGGCAGGGCTGTGGGGGAAGGTCCCTGCCCACAGCTAGGCCGGGAACGGGCTTTGGGAGCAGCAGGCACAGGAGTGGGAATACCTCCCTCTCTGGGTATCTGTGGGCCTGACCACCTGCCAGAAGACCCCAGGGCTTCCTCCTACGGGTTCTCAGACAGAGAAACACTCTCAGTTAAAACACCAGAGTTGGCTGAGTATGAGGGCTCAAGCCTGTAATCCCAGCGATTTGGGAGGCTGAGGTGGGTGGATCACCTGAGGTCCGGAGTTCAAGACCAGCCTGGCCAACATTGTGAAACCCCATCTCTACCAAAAATACAAAAATTAGCCAGGCATGGTGGGCCATGCCTGTAATTTCAGCTACTGGGAAGGCAGAGACAGGAGAATAGCTTGAACCCAAAAAAAAAAAAAAAAAAAGAGGCCAGATTGCACCATGGCACTCCATCCTGGACGACAGAGTGAGACTTCGTCTCAAGAAAAAAAAGAGGCCAAAGCCACACAGTGCTGGCTCTAGTCCCAGCCCTGCGCCTCCTCGCTGGGTGACTTTGGGCAAGGCACTTGGCTTCTCTAAGCTCTGGCCACACAGCAGTGAAGGAGTCCTCCTCACTCACTGTCCAGCTATGCAGGAGGCTCACATAACGTGATGTGGCCCGACTCAGCCTTGGGTCTCCTAAGGAGCATGGCCACTTCCATTAGAGAGGAGGAAACTCAGGCTCAGATCCCCAGGGGTGGGACCCCTCAGCCTTGGAGGTCTCCCCACAACCTCGGACACATTTTTCCAGGCAGGTGACGGCAGAGCAAAGGAGCTGGTGCAGGGCTTGGCTTTCTCTTTGGCAAACACTGAAGGAGGAGGCCCGGCTAGGGCTGCAGCTGGCCGGGGCGACCGGGTGGGAGAAGGGAGCCCTGATGAGCACGCCTCTGGGGTGGCCAGCTGAGGGGAACGGGGGCCAGAACCCAGGGGGACAGCAGCTGCCACTGGCCAGGCCATGCTTCCGCTCTGTCCCTGACCACTGCAGTGGCACGTGCTGGCCCTGCAGCCAGTGACCTCATGCCAGCCCACTGGGAAGAACTGTTGCCACCCAGCCTGGTGACCAGAGCCGGTGTTTATGCTGGGTCGGGCCTCAGGCCACAAGTGATGGACAGAGGAAAACCTGGCTGGGCCCTTCCTGTGCCGGGGCCTTGTTCCTGGGGAAGCTGAGGGCTGACAGGTGCTTCAGAGTCGGGATCCTGCTGGGCCTCGGTTTTGGCATCCGTGGGACCTCATGAGGATTTGCTGAGCCGGCCAATCTCTCAGGCAGGGTCTGGCCCGAGCAAGCACGTGTCCGAGTGAGCTGTCGCTGTTGTTGTGGGAAACAGAGCCCGAAGCAGAGCCGAGTCACCACCCCTAAGCCCTGCCCAGAGCAGAGACCCTACCACCCACACACCCATCTTGCACCAGGGTTGGTGGGAATGGGTCAGCCCAAAGCAGAGCCTCCACCAAGGCTGGCTTAGGTGATGGGAGGGAGGCCTGCACCCCACTAGAGGGCTCAGCCCCTGCCCCAGCACCTCAGGGGCAGCCGAGATGGTCACATGTAGGCTTGCAGTTCCAGTCTCTAATTGGAGGGCCACGGGGGTGGTGGCAGATTTGCCTCTGGGTAGGGAGGGGCATGGGCTGGGCTGGTGGAGTGTGCCCCATTCACCCCGCTTGGCCTCTTAGCAGCAGTGGACACGCACGTGCACAGAATCGCCAACCGGCTGAGGTGGACCAAGAAGGCAACCAAGTCCCCGGAGGAGACCCGCGCCGCCCTGGAAGAGTGGCTACCCAGGTATGGGTATGTGGGGGGCTTCCTTGAGGAGGGCTCACCCCACCCGCCCTCCGTCAGCACTGACCCAGCCCCTCCCCCACAGGGAGCTGTGGCATGAGATCAACGGACTCCTGGTGGGCTTTGGCCAGCAGACCTGTCTGCCCGTGCACCCTCGCTGCCAGGGCTGCCTCAACCAAGCCCTGTGCCCAGCCTCACAGGGTTTCTGAGGGCTGTGCGGCTTCGGCCATGTTGCCGCTATGGCTGCCGCCTGTGAAGTGCCTTTGCGCAGGAAGCCACACCTGTTGAATAAAGCTTTGGGGTGTTTGCAGGTGGCATCTGGCTGATGTCTGTCCCTGAGGGGCCGGGGGCCTGGGAATAGTGTACAGGCGTGTGCGCGTGCACACCCATGCTTGCGTGTCTGAAGCAGGGCCGCCTGGGAGGCCAGCTGGGGACGTGACAATCTTTGCTATGTACTCAGGGACAGGGAGGGAGGAAGTGGAGAGAGCCAGCTGCAGCCGGCTGCTGGAAGTCTGCTAGGGAAGCAGCTCCTGGGCAGCTGGCTTGGGACCCTGGCCCCTCATTATCCATCACCCGCCCCCTAGCTTCCCAGCCAGGACACCACCAGTGCCTGAGCTTGCATGCCCGCAAAGCCCAGCCTCTGCCAGGGTCCCACCTCCCTGTTTACAGAGCTCCCCCACCTTGAAAGAGACACTGGGGACCCAGGCAGGAAGCCACAGGGTATAAGGCTAGAGGTCACGGAGTGAACTGGGCAAAGGGCCATGTGGGTGTTGTGTGAGGCCAGATGGCTTCACAGGGAAGGTGAAGGTGGGAGGCTGAGTCCACCCAATAGAGAGGTGGGTACGAGCCCAGGATGAGCCACACAGCAGCAGGTCCCATGGGGGCCAGTGGGGGACAGCAGCAGGGCGGGGAGCAGATGGATGCAGGGCAGGGGCTCAGGAACGAGACTCAGTTTCCAGCTGCTGAGACTCGGGGAAGGGGCTCCCTGAAACAGCCTCATCCCTCTACTCCTCTCACCCGGCAAGGAGGAGGCTCGGAAAAGACAGAGGCATGTCAGTCCCAGGCAGGGCCTGTTTATTCTGAGGGCGCGCATGCGCTATGGCTTACGAGGCAACAGCGGTGCCGGTCGATCAGTCACTTCAGGGGTGTGGGGCCCAGGAGGGAAGAGCAGTCAGCAGGATGTCCACAGGGGAGCCCGCCAGGCAGGGCTGAGCCAGAGGTCTAGAGTCCTTCCTGGGTGCCGCTCTCACACACCTACATTCCCCAGGCCTGGAAGCTGCCATGCGGAATGAAGGGCCTGTAGAAAGGCCACCCTCTGCAAGGACATGGGGCCTCCATCCTTGGGCCCCTCGGAGAGCCCAGGCCCTGCACTCCAGATCCCCAGCAAGGCAGAAGCATACAGGGTAGCTGGGTGGGGAGCAGGGCCTGGCCTAGGAACCCCCACACCAGGGTGGGCAGCTCCCATGGCCACATCCAGCCTCCCTGGCCTTACCCCAAGGTCCCCACAAATAGGCTGGGGGCCCCAGCTCAGCCACCCGAAGTCTGAGGGACTCCCACTCAGGACAGCCACTGCTGAGGCCGGCAGGGGTAGGGGATAGGGGGTGGGGGGTAGGGGGGCCAGGGAGGAAATGGTTTGCAGAGAACGGTTTTATTGCAATTATTTAGAGTGCGTCCCAAGGGGGAGGGGAGGGGGGCGCTCTGGTATTAAGTGGAAACATGTGTGGAGCTAGAGATCTTTTTGGAAAAAAAGCAAAAACACAAATTCCTTTCAGTCAGCAGGCCCAGCAGAGCAGCAAAGGCCCTCACCCTGCGGCCGCCGCTCTGCCCCTCTGTCTCTCTCTCTCTCTGCCCCTCCCTTGCTGCCACAGGCCCCCAGTACCTAGCGGGCAGGGGCAGGATGGGGGCTCACGGGGACTGGGGCTGATTTCTGGGCAGTGGCAGGATCACCCTCCAGTCCACCGAGGCTTGGGGAGCTCGGGGCGGGCTGAGGCCCAAGGTCCGTGCAGGAGGGGTCCCAGGGCCCCGAGACAGGCAGGGAGGGGCTCAGAAGTTGCTGAAGATCTCTCGCTTCCGGTTCCAGTCCATTTGTGGTGCACGCTTGTTGACTCTCGTGGCTCGAGCCTTCTCCTTGGCCTCGGCCGCTGTGGGGCTCAGGTGGAGGCCGCTCTCCTGGAAGGGGTCTCGCTTCCAGGCACTGCCATCCTGGGGTGGGCATGGTGGGTGGGGTGCCTGGAGTGAGCTCTAGTCCCACACCCCAGACGGTAGCCCCTCCCAGGAACCAACCACCAGAGGCCGCCTGCTGGGGCTGAGGCAGGGGGCTCTCAAGGGCTTCCTGGAGGCACAGACCCCCCTGCCCTAGCTGACATCTCCACAGATACCCACCCCGAGGTCTCTGGCACCCCCAAGTGTGAGCTCAGGAGAGGAGTGGTGGAGAAGAACATCCATACCTCAGTGTCCTTGTCTGAACCAGGCAGGTCACTCCGGGACGAGCACGCAGAGCCACCATTGAGCTGGGAAAGCAAGGGCTGGTTGTGGCTTCAGGGCTCCCGCCCAGGGAGCCGCTGTTCACAGACAGACACAATACCTGCACACGCACACGCACGCACACATGCACACGCCCCACAGCTGTGTGTGCTCCTCCACTCGACTGTGGCCTCGGACCTCAGGTGCACTCCAGCTGCGGCAGGGCAGGCCCTGGGAACCCGGCAGTAACAGGCGGGTACCCTGGCCGGCTCATGGTGCAGAGGGAGTCTGGGCACAGTAACGGCCAGCGTGACCAACGCCTGTAGTGAGGCCACCGCCAGCTCCCTTAGGAGGCAGAGACTGGAGAGCTTACCAACTCCTTACCAGGTGCGGCCTAGGAGGGGACGGAAGGCAGCGGCCCCAACCCCAGGCGCCCCATGTAGCTTGGGTGTGGCACTGACCCAGGACTAGATCCACAGGGGCATTAAAGGGAGGTGACAGGGCCAGAATTGGGTGTCACTACCACACCTCCTCGAGGACAGGGATCTCCAGGGAGAAGGGGGCCTCTGTCGGCCTGAGTACCCCCCGAGGCACCGTGTCTCATGGCACCCCATCCACTCACCTGGGCAGGGCTGGTCCCGTTGGTGATGGGTGTTGGCAGAGGACCTGTGGGTGGGGACAGCGTGTCAGTGGCTGCTCAGCCACCACACTGTGCCCGCCCTGTTCCCCCGGGCCATGGCCCACCTTCCACGTGCTCCTCGGTGGGGGTGACCCGAAGCCGCTTGAAGTGTTCGTCTGTCTCCGGGTCCACCACCAGCAGCCGGGCCTCATCCTCCCGGGCCTTGATGCTGGCCACGACCTCGGAATGGCGCAGCCCCTCCACATTCTGCCCATTCACCTGCCACCACCAGCACACGTCAGCCCCGAAGTGGGCCCAGACAGCCCCCCACACCACGTGGCCAGGTGTGGCATCAAATATTCATCACAACCACTGCCCGCCGAGGCAGCAGGAAGCACGCCAGCTCAGGTTCCCAGCGTCTCCTTCCTACCTGCAAGGACCCGGGGGCCCGATGTGGACAGGCACGGGGTACCCGGCACCCTGCAGCCCTGGTGGGTCGGTACCTCAATGAGCCGGTCCTGGGCGCGGAGGCCAGAGCGAGCAGCAGGGGAGCCAGGGTCCACAGAGCGGATGTACTGGCCAGGACGCGACTTGTCACTGTGCAGGTTGAACCCGTAGCCCTGAGGTCCCTTTCGCAGGTGGCAGAGCCGAGGGCGCAGCTCCCTCAGGGGCCCACTGACATCCTGCAGGCCCGAAAGACAGGATCAGTCTCTTGGCTCCAGCCTCCTGCCCTGAGAGGCTACTCTCAAGTGGAGCTGCCCCTGCCCAAATTCAGTACCATACCCCCCCACAGGCAGGCCCAGGTCTCAGGGGCAAACGCTCCGGGTGCCCTGGCTGCCTGTGACGGAGCTCTAGCTGTGGGAACTTTCGCAAAGCCTGTTTCTAAACCCTGGAGCCTCCCCAATGGGCCCAACAGCTTTTCCAGGTTGCTGGGAGAATTCTCTGGGCTCGAGGCCAGCGCAGTGCACAGGCGGGTGGGAAGAAGCGCCAGGTGGGACGAACTGTCACCGTCGGCCTCCTAGGCAGCTGTCCCCGAGGGCCCTGCCTGTGTGTCCCCCTGCCCCAGGCTCGCCTCCAGAGCGTGGGCCAGGCGCTCCTAGGCCAGCAGTTTTGTTTTCTCTCCAGAGTCCGCGAGGCTGGCTGCTGCGGTGGCGGCTCTGTTTGCTTTCACATTCCGGGAAAATGAGCCGCCCCACCCCCATGGGCCCAGCAAGCAGGGACTGGGGCCGGAGCTTAGAGTGGACAGGGCACAGAGCGCCTCCTGGTCCCCTGAGGGACCCTGATACCATCCCAGGGCCCTGCCCCATGTTACCTCTGGCATCCTGCAGTGGGGCTCTGGGCCAGGCCCAGTGATCCCCCCAACCAGGGGCTGGGCCGGGGCGGGTGAGGTGGCAGTGGCCAGCGGCTGCCTGTGCTCAGATAAACATGGCGGTGGCTGGAGCAGGCGAGCGACAGCTCAGGTTTCCAGGGAGTGCCAAGCTTGAGGGTGTGTGCAGGGGACAGTGTGCAGGCAAGGTGGGGGCCACCCGGGCCCCTCCCTCACCTCCTACCTCCCTGTGTGTCCCTAAGGGACCACAGGCCAGGCCAGAGTCGGGCTAGCATGGCGGGAGGGGCACTCAGACCTCAGGAAGGCAGGTCTCCAGGCCTCAGATACCCCCGACCCCTCCAGCCACCCACCTTCAGGCTCACTCCAAACCCCAATGGACTGGGAACAGCCATGCTAGTCAGGGGCAGGGGGGGCGCCCCACCAAGGGCACACAGGGTCCTTCCCCGAAACGCCGGTGCCCTGTCCCCTGGGCTCAGGCCCTGCCCTTGGTCTGGAACACCCTCCTCCTGTCCTGCCTGCCAGGTACCTCTTGTGGAGCCTCCTGCCCACCCTCTGAAGCCTCTCCACATGGCTGCCACCCAGCCCATCACACCAGGAACTCCAGGGACAAGACTGGGGCTCCTCAGCCCCCCAGGGGCTCAGCTGGGCTACATGGGTTGAATTGGAGGGTACAAGACCCCCAAAATCCCCAGGGCCCTACCACACAAACCCGCCCTTCCTCCAGACACACCTGGTGGCACAGGCGTGGGGCTTTAAGGCTGACCCTGACACCTGCCCATGGAGGCGCCCCTCAGGGATGCATCAGAGCTCAGCCCCTGAGGCTGGCCTGGCACAGAGGGAAGGTGTGGGGACAGGAGCCCAATTCGGGAGGGGAAGTGCAAGCGTGACGGGCCAGGCTGCAGACACATGTCACAGGGTCACAGACACGAGACGTCCAAATACACCTTGGAATACGCATAGCCGCCCACACATGTGGCCAGCCCCACAGTGCTGGCCCCGCAGCCCTTCCCACACCTGCACAGAGGCCTGCAGGGCAGGGTTTCTCAAGGCATCAGACAGGAAGCAGGATCTGGTGGGGCATCTGGGGCCCTGAGGCCAGGCCAAGGCCCCTCCATGTTCTCGGGGTCATTCTGGCCACCCCTCTGTGTCTTGAACTGTACAAGGCAAAAAGTTCTGCCTGTCATCAAGCCTAAACCCTCCTCATTGTCAGCAGGGTCCTGCGGTGCCAGGCATGGCACTAAACCCTCAGGTAGAGGGGCTGCAAGATAGGGGCCGGGGTGGGCTGCTGGCAGCACATGGGGCAGGGCAGGGGGGCCCAGAATGCGGAGGAGCTTGGGCGGGGCTCATAGCTCACATTCCTCCTCACTGCCCTGGCTCAGCACACACTTCCTGCCACCTCCTGCCAGGCCCTCTGGCTCCCATGGGCTCCAGGCTCCCTCCCCGCCAGCGGCCAGCGCAGAGCCGGGCCATCCCTGGTCCCCCAGCCATGCCTGTGTCCAGACAAAGAGGCTGCATTGGGGGTACCCTGGGACCCCCCCCAGATGGTGACGCACCAGCCCTGGCAGAAAAAGGCCTCCATTGTTGCTCAGGGGCCGGCCTGCTTACATCAAGGTCCCAGAGTCCCCTCCTCCCACCCTGGGAGACTGAGCGGCGGCTGGTTCCTCTGAGCCCCCCCTTCCTCCCACCCTACCTGACCTGTACCATTCCCTGGGATGGGCTCCGTGGAGGGGCTCCTGGAGCCCAAGCAGGTGGTGTGGCACTCCCAGAGCGTGCCATGACAGCAAGACAGTGGCAGCGGGTGTCCAGCCGGGGTGGCCTGAGCTCTCTGGCCGACCCAGGCTCCCACCCGACTTATCTACCTCCCTCAGAGGCCCTGGCTCCCCAGGGGTGGGTGGGGACGTGAGGGCTGAGTCACTTTGGGGAGTAGGGTGATGACTGAGCCCACTCCCCTGCAAAGGCTCCAGCCCGGCGCCCCCCACCCAGCTGGGTTTCCGTCCCAAGAAAGGAAGGAAGGAAGCTGCTGGAAGGCCCTGCCCTGCCCCGCCCCAGGACCCAGGGCTGGGGGGACGGAGGAGTCCCGACCCTAGAACACAGGACAGCGCTGCTGAGGTTCCAGAGAACAAGAACCAGGGGAGCCTGGAAGCCCCCACAGGGATCGTGTTCCACCCACACAGCCGCCTCCCGCAGAACTGTCACTCCCACTCGCTCTCAGCCGCTGTCACCCTTCACCTGCTCTTAGCCCCCAAAGCCCTCCAGAGGGGGGTGGGACATGGACTGGGAGCAGGGGATGAAGGGCCCGGGTCTGCCACCACCTCCAGAGCCTGGCACCGCTGGCCGCCCTGTCTGTTTGGGGGCTGTCCCTTGTCATCACCACAAGGATCAGCTGCACTGCAGCTGTGACCATCCCTAGCCTGGTGTGGCCCAGGCCTGAGTCATCACTAACTAGGCTTTAATGGCCCCAAAAGGAGGGTCAACCACATCAGTTCCTCCCCTGCCCACCTCCCTATCCCCAGCCAGGACAGAGGACACGGAGAACCACCCTTAGCTCCCAGGGGGCACCCAGGGGTGGGCCCTCTCCATCCTGCACCAAAACCAAACTACACACAGTCCTCCCCAGGGCTCTGCCTCTCTGCCACCAACACCCCCACTGGAGCCATCCGCGCAGGGTAAGCTCTGCCCTCCCAGGCTCCCTGACCGTCTCAGGCTCGAGAGGTGCACCCAGGCTGAGGAGGGCAGGATCTGAGCCTGCTCTGTGGAGGTCAGATGAGGCCCAGCTCTTCCTGCCCATGCTGGAAGCTCGGGTAAAGAAACCTCAGGTAGCCGGGCGCAGTGGCTCACGCCTGTAATCCCAGCACTTTGGGAGGCCGAGGCGGGTGGATCACGAGGTCAAGAGATCGAGACCATCCTGGTCAAAATGGTAAAACCCCGTCTCTACTAAAAATACTAAAAATCAGCTGGGCATGGTGGCGCGTGCCTGTAATCCCAGCTGCTCAGGAGGCTGAGGCAGGAGAATTGCCTGAACCCAGGAGGCAGAGGTTGCGGTGAGCCGAGATTGCGCCATTGCACTCCAGCCTGGGTAACAAGAGAGAAACTCCGGCTCAAAAAAAAAAAAAAAAAAAAAAAAGAAACCTCAGGTCTCGGGCCAGGCACAGTGGTTCACACCTGTCATCCCAGCACTTTGGGAGGCTGAGGCAGGCGGATCGCTTGAGCCCAAGAGTTCGAGACCAGCCTGGCCAACATGGCGAAACCCCGTCTCTACTAAAAACAGAAAAATTAGCCAGGTGTGGTGGCACATGCCTGTAATCCCAGCTGCTCGGGAGGCTGAGGCAGGAGAATCGCTTGAACCCAGATGTAGGAGATTGCAGTTGAACCAAGGAAAAAAAAAAAAAAGAAATCTCAAGTCTCGATGACAGAGAGAGAAGGGGAGACCTTGTTCCTTGGGTGTCCCCTGACCTCCTGGAGCCCCTGTCCTCAGCCAGACTCATGCACAGAGGGACCTGCCACTCAGGCCACCCTTTGTTCCTCTAAAAATACGCCCAGAGGAAGCCCCTCCTAGGGCTTCCTGCAGCCCCCAGAGCCTGAAATAGCAAAGGGGAAGGTCCCACCCAAGGCAAGGTGCCTCAGCCACCGCACCCTCCAGATAAAGTCCGAGGGCCGGATTTTTCCACAGGAAGGTGACCGGTGCATTTGTGTCCAAATCAATGGACAAATGCCTGGGGTGGAGGGGGAGCTTCCTCCTGGGGGAGGGAGGGTGCCTGGGAAAGAGGGAGGCCCCAACCCTCAGCCTGGAGCCAGGGCCTGGGCCAGCCAGCCCCCATGTAAGGCCAGCCCCCACCAACCCACCACAGGCTGGGCATCTTGGCCCTGAGCATTGCCATAGCCTACCCTCAAGCCCCAGGAATGAAACAGGTCCCACAGGACCTATGGCCAGCCCTGTGCCCAGGCTGGGATCCCCACAGGGAATGCCGTCTCCCTGCCAAGACGGCCCCCGGGGCTCAGCTCCCAGGCGCAGCCAGCTCCAGGGGAAATGTTTGGGAAAGGGGGAAAGTCAATGTGCAGATCCCCTGCTCCCCTGGAAACTCCAGATCTCACACCTCCGACCCAGGCCCGAGGTTCTCAAAGTAGGGCCTGGGGAACCCCTGGACTCGATCCCCTGAAGGGATTTCTTTGAGAGCATGAAGGCGATGGCAGGATGTCCAGGAAGGCAGGACAGACAGCTTCAGGCTGCTCCTCTTGGCCCCCAGGCCTACCAGGCTGCCCCTCCTGGGGGCCACCTAGCTGGAGGTGGAGCAGGCCGCGCCTCAACTTTTCTGGGTCTCCTGGCTGGGAGCAGGTGCAGGGGAAAGAAGAAGTGCTGCCCAGCAAGACTCCAGAAGGAACAACAGACAGGGTCCGTGGGCCTCCCTTATATCTAGGGGGAGGGTGTGCTCACCCTGGAGCCTCCTGGACCCCCAACTCCACTCCCATGCTCACTCCCTGCTCCCAGCCCCACCCATGACGGGCCTGGTAGAGTGGCCACCTCATGGCGCTGCCTGCAGGGGTGACTGGCCCCCTCTCAGGCCTTCCCAGCATGCAGATGCCTCGGACAGAGACAAAGACAGAGCCACAGACGACTCCCAACACAGAACTGGGCACACGGACACCTGGAATGCCTCTTCCCAGGGTTCCTCAGCCGACAGGCTGGGGGTTGGGGAGGTGGTGGCTTGTCAGAGTGATCCCTCCATACGGCAGTGGCTCTGGAGCGTCCCGGAGAAGAGGAACAGATCAGGATGCTCTGACTCCTCCCAGTTTAGAACACAGGCTGAGGATGGAAAGAGTGGCCCCCAGTAGCCAACAGGATGGTCTCTGGGGCAGAAAAGGAGCCCCAAAAGGCACAAGAGACCAAGACTTCTGGAGGGGAACAAAGGCAAGATTGCCGTCGAGAGACACTCTGGGAGAGGCTAGGGCGGTCCCTGTGGCCCAGCCCGCCATACCTTCTTGCTGGTGTCGGAGCTGCAGCCGCCCACGTGTGCCCAGTCCGGCTTCGGCTCCCAGGGGTCGTGGGCGGGCGGGAGCCCTCGCTGGGCCATCTCCTCGGTGCAGGTCAGCTGCCGCCGGCGCAGCTCCTCATCCGTCTCCTGGTCCACCACCAGCAGCCGGGTCTGCCCCTCCACAGCCTTGATCCTTTGCACCACCTGGGACAAATGGGTGGCAGGGGCGGGTCAGCAGCCTGCACTCCAGTCCGCACATGGGCAGTGGCACCGCTCTGGGCTGGCCTGGGCATGCAGGCAGGCGGCTGGTCTGCATGGGTGGGTGGCTGCGCCAAGAGGCCTGCCAGCCCCGCCCCCCACCCCCGGACTCCAGCGGCTCCCTCCCTCTGCTCCTGGGCTCTGGACACTAAAGCCCAGGCTGCCAGGGCTTCAGGGTCCTCCCAGGGCCTTGCTCTTAGCCCTGGGTCTTCTCCAGAGGGGGCCAGGCAGGGGCTGCAGGGTACGGCAGCTGGGGAGTCCTGTCTGGAAGTGACAAAGATGATGCCCAGCTGAGCTTGAGCTTTTCAGTTTTCTCGTGCATGTGCACGTGTGCATCCATCTATTTCAAAGATTGTATTTCCCTCCGGGTTCGAGGAAGACAAGGGTCTCCCTGGGCCCCAGTTTGGGTGTATCTATGCCCATTCCTGTCACTCTCTGCCACGCAGTGTGGGAGTCTAAACCCCTGACCCCAGGCCTTGCATCTCCCTGTAGACCATGACCATGAACCCATTCCCGTGGGACCTGCAGAGAAGGAAGAGCTGGGCTCCTGGCTCAGGCAGCCACACATAGCCTGGGAAGCAGGCAGGATTGAGGTGCAGCCGTTGAGGGGAAGGGGCAGGTGCACCTGTGGACAGCTGTGGCATGGCTGTCGGCGTGTGCGTGCAGGTGCCTGTGAAGTATCTGGACCACACAGGGGGCCAGCATGTACCCTCAGAGAGAAAGCAGTGCCCACTGGGCCATGGGGAGGAGGAGGGGCAGCCCCACTTCCACCTGAGGCCTGTGGGAGGGTAGACAGGGCTCCCCACCAGCTGCCGGGCTCAGCAGGGGTGGTGAACAGATAGGAGGGGCCGAGCCAGGCCCATCTTCCCACTGGTCCTCCTCTCTCCCCATGACACAGAGTGAGGCAAAGGGAACCCAATGCCCAGCTGCTTCTTGACTGTGTCCCAGACAAGTCACCCCAAATCACCAGCATCAGTTTCCTCACCTGTCCAACAAGGCTGTAACTGCCCCTCTTGCCCTCCTGGGGCAGAGGGGAGGGTCCACCATGACCAGTGTGTCCAGTCTTCGAGACCAGCACCCCAGGGACCTTGGATAAGCAGGTGTTCCCAGGGCAAGGGCGGCAGTGACTGTCAAACAGCAGCCAGGCCCTCACCCTGCCAGCCACACCTTCAATCCCTCAGACCCAGGCCCCCAGCCTGATCCCCACCTTTTTCAGCAAACAACCTTACACAGCAGACACTCTGGATGGAAGGCAGGGGGCAAGCTGCAGAGGAACAGACGGGTACTTGGTAAACAGGAGACCAGCTCCAGGCCTAGCCGAGAGCCAACCTGCTAATCTCTTTTTTTATTTGAGGAGTCTCACTCTGTCCCCGAGTGATCTCGGCTCACTGCAACCTCTGCCTCTTGGGTTCAAGCGATTCTCCTGCCTCAGCCTCCCGAGTAGCTGGGACTATAGGCGCAAGCCACCATGTCTGGCAAATTTTTATATTTTTAGGAGAGTCGGAGTTTCGCCATGTTAGCCAGGATGGTCTCCATCTCCTGAAATCACCATCTGCCCGCCTTCACCTCCCAAAGTGCTGGTATTACAAGCGTGAACCACCTCGCCCAGCCCCCACCTACTAATCTCTAGGATCCAGGACCAGCCATGTAGACAGGATTTGCTGGTGCTGTGAGGGATAGGGGACCTGGAGGACAACGGGTGTGTAGACACTGGACTCTCACCAGGGTCTGGAGGGAGTCCCCGGCTTGTGAGAGACAGACAGACTCAGGGGTCAGAACCCACAGAGAAAAGGCTCTGTTCTCATTGGCCAGAAGGCAGGAGGCTTCAGCCAATGTCCCCAGCCAAGTTAAGCAGACTCTAAGGAGGAGCAATGCCTTTGGAACTAAGGAATGTGACTGCCACCAATGGCCAACTCCCACCTGTCCCAGACACACCTGGGTGGGACACACGAGAGTACTGACACACAGACTCACCAGCCGGCAGACACACAGTGACAAGCATACAGGCCAGGTGTGCAGACACACAGGCCTGGACACTCATGTTCCCACACAGTCCAGCTCTCACACGACCGGGAATCTAAACCTGTACACACACACACACACGTGTGCAGACCTGGATACACACACACTCCAGCACACACACAGGTGCAGACACACTGATACCCTTAGCGGGCCCCCTCCTGGGTACACACAGGCAGGCGCGTGCACACATGGCTGACCCAGAGGGAGCTGCACACACACACCCAGCTGTGTTCACACGCACACGTGTACACACACACCCAGGCAAAAGCACCCAGGTCTCCACCTTCCTGGTGGGGCCTCAGGCTGCCTGACACCCTCCTTCATGGCACACTGAGGCCAAAACGCAACCAAACAGCGAAGCCAACGGCCAGGAGCCGCAGTGCGGGCCCCTCCCTGCCAGGATACACCCCCACCCCGGTGCAAGGCTGAGCTTCCTGCGCCCGAACTCGGAAGGCGCCGGGCCACTGCCTCCCGGCAACGTCCGCGTCCTCCCCGCGGGACGCCCCTCGGGCCCCGTGCGACCCCCGCCCGCCCCAGGGAGACGTGCTCGTGGAGGTGTGGGCGGACCGGGGGCGAGCTCGGGCCCCCACCTGGTGGTGCGTCTCGCCCTCCACGTTGACGCCGTTGACCTCGACCAGGCGGTCCCCAGCGCGCAGCGCGGCGGCCTCGGCGGGGGAACCGGGCTCCACGCGCCGGATGAACTGCCCGCGGCGGCCCTTCTCGCCGTGCAGGTGGAAGCCGTAGCCCTGCTCGCCGCGCACCAGGCGGCACAGACGCGGCCGCAGCGGCTCCGGCGCGGCCATGGCGCCCGCTGCCCACCGGTCGCCCGCGGGCAGGGGCGCAGGGGAGCTCGGGGGCTGCGGCGGCGCTGGGCAACCGGCGGTGGCTTCGGCGCCTCCCGCTCGGCTCCAGTCGCCTCGGGCTCCGGCTCGGGCTCCGGCGGCGGCACCGCCCCCGCGCCCGCCCCTTCCCCGCCCCCGCCGTCCGGCCGCCCCCGCCCCCGTCCCAGCCATCGCGGCCAGGCCCCTGCCTCTGCGCCCTACCAGTCCAATGGGGTGCGGGGGGAGGGGGCAGGGGCCACGGGACCCTCCAACCACCGGGACCCCTCTGTCTCGCCCCTACTCTGGACGGCCGCCTTCGTGCCAGCACCTTCGCCTTCTACCCAGGAACATTTACTGGAAATCTACTGTATGCGCAGCACCGAGGCAGGTCTTCAGGTGGGAGACGGGTTGGAAAAAGGGTCTCCAGGCCAAGGGACTCTCCCCACAAAGGGGCCAAAGGGTAAGAACGAGGTCCACAGCCCTCCACCCTCCCCAGGCAGCCCTCCCCGACCCCCTTGCCTGTCTCCTCTCAGCTGTGCCTGATCCTGATCCCTCCTGCAGCCAGAGCTGCCCTGGGCCAGGGCAGCAGCTCAAGAGGGCCCAGGAGGCCAAAAGAGGGGGTTAAAAGTGACACGCAGCAACGCAGCAGCCCCTATCTGCACCCTGGAGGCCGGTGACTGGGAGACTCCCTGGTCTACCCACCGTGTTCCGACTATCTGCACCGAGTCCATTCCCGAGCCCTCCCCACCTTATTTCCCTTGGCTGGGCCCCCTCACTTGTGTCCCAGCCCACCTCTGTGACTTTGCAGTCACAGGCTTGGATGTGGGGGGAGGGATCTGAGTCTCAAGGGTCTCTGCTACCTGCTCCTGAGATGGGATGCACTGCACTGAAGTGTCTGGGCTCTGAGCTCTGGGTGGTGGCCAGTGTCCACAGGGAGACCCCTGTAGGCCTCCCCTCCCCTGGCCCACAGCCGTCCACAACCGCCAGCTCTACCTGAAGCACGAGTGTCCCCCCTTCCCCAACAGAACAATCACCATCACAACAAAATCATTTATGGCTGAGTGCATTTTACCTGGAACAGCCCTAGGGGCCCGGCCACTTTACAGATCTGAAAACTGGGGTCTGGAGAGGGAAGAGACCCACAAAGTTTCCTCAGCTCCATTTGGGCCCAGGGATGTGAGATTCAGAGTCCATGCTCTTCTCCACCCAGCTCTTCCTCAGTCTCCAATATGGGAAGGCATCTGGGTCCAGGCACAGCCTCAGCCTGCCCTCCTCCCCAGTCCAGCCAGGCCCCCTGCACATACCTGGTTCCCAGGAGTTAGGCACAGCCAGCCCAGGCAATTCCCCATGTGAGCAGGAGAGGCAGGCTTGGCGCAGTCCTCCTCTCCCTCTCCGCTCTCCAGCGCCCTTGGCCTGGGCTCGCCTGCCGCCCATCCAAGCACAGGGCCTGCCTCTGGGCAGCCTCCTGGGCCTTGGCCCCCTGGGTGCCCATATCCCGGCAGCTGCCCCTAAAAGCCACTTAGGCTGAGGCCCCATGGCTGCTCCCTACCCCCACCCCTGCAATTCCTGGCTGAGGCTGTCTTAGGCTCCCGCCCGGCTGGCCACCTCCATCTGTCTGTCTGTATGTCCAGAGGCTGCCTGTCCGGCCTGTGGCTGGCCTGCCTGGACACAGCCTGGTGCTGCCACCCTTCGAGCCTGTGAGGGTGGCTGTGGGCAGTGTGAGCCACCACACACCCCACACACCACTCCTGGTGAGGCTTAGGGGGTCACCCCACATCAACAAGGGCCACCCAAAACCTGGCAGGCTGTAGCTTCAGGGCAACACTAGTCAGGAAGGTGGCTGGATGGGAGCCCCAGCAAGGTAAGGGGGTAAGGGGGCTTGCAGACCTTTCCCCTAGCTGGGGCAGACTCCCAATCAGCCTTGGGCATACATTAGCGTTCCCTGGCCCAGGACTCAGCTGATTCCTCCTCCCAGTGACTGAAAATGGGATGGGGGGCCGGGAGCAGTGGCTCAAGCCTGTAATCCCAGCACTTTGGGAGGCTGAGGCAAGTGGATCACCTAAGGTCAAGAGTTCGAGACCAGCCTGGCCAACATGGCAAATCCCCATCTCTACTAAAAAGACAAAAAAAAAAATAGCCATGGTGGCACACAACTGTAATCCCAGCTACTAGGGAGGTTGAGGCAGAAGAATCACTTGAACCCAGGAGGCAGAGGTTGCAGTGAGCCAAGATGGTGCCACTGGACTCCAGCCTGGGTGACAGCAAGACTCTCAGAAAAAAAAAAAAAAGGCAGGTGCGGTGGTTCACACCCGCAGTCCCATAACTTTGGGAGGCCGAGGCGGGTGGATCACCTGAGGTCAGGAGTTCAAGATCAGCCTGGCAAACATGGTGAAACCCCATCTCTACTAAAAATACAAAAATTAGCCAGGTGTGGTAGCTAATGCCTGTAATCCCAGCTACTCGGGAGACTGAGACATGAAAATCACTTGCACCAGGAGGTGGAGGTTACGGTGAGCCAAGATCATGCTACTGCACTCCAGCCTGGGAGATAGAGTGAGACTCCATCTCAAATAATAAGAATGATTTTTAAAAAGATAGGATGGGGAGCAGTGCGATGGAGGGAAAGGCCTCCAGGGATGGGAGGCCACACCCGGGGCCAGGAACCAAGGAAACATCACTGGACACACTGCTGCTACAAAGTAACAAAGGAGTCCCCAAAGCCAAGAAGGAGCTGAAGAAGGGCTGAGGAAGGTAACGGAGTAGCAAAGGGCTAGGCAACAAAGGAAGTGGGCCTGGCAAAGGGGGAGCAGGGAGCAGGGTGAATTGAGGCAGTCAGAGAGGAACTGGAGGTCACAATTTCAGAGGAGGTGCAGAGTCCTTGAGAGGGGACAATGAGTCCAGGGGCCTGGAGGAACAGGCAAGGAAGGGTGACTCAGCAGCTCTGGGGCGGGGGGAGGTAAACCCTCCCAGGCCTCTTCTCCAGCCAGCCCCCGGAAGCTCTCAGCCCTGCTCCCAGGCTGACCTCAGCCCTCACAAGTGCTGTGCTAGAGGCAGAGCGAAGGGAAGAGCCTGGGCAAAGGTGTTTAGGGGCTGTCAGGTGCTTGGAGTTTTAACAAAAGGGCTATGGAGGCTGGGTGCTGTGGCTCACGCTTGTAATCTCAGTACTTTGGGGGGTTGAGGCAGGCGGATCACGGGGTCAAGAAGATCGAGACCATCCTGGCTAACACAGTGAAACCCTGTCTGTACTAAAAATACAAAAAATTAGCTGGGCGTGGTGGTGCGCACCTGTAGTTCCAGCTACTCGAGAGGCTGAGGCAGGAAAATCGCTTGAACCTGGGAGGCAGAGGTTGCAGTGAGCCAAGATCGCACCACTGCATTTTTTGAGACTCCATCTCAAAAAAAAGAAAAGAAAAAAAGGGCCGGGCGCGGTGGCTCAAGTCTGTAATCCCAGCACTGTGGGAGGCCGAGGCGGGTGGATCACGAGGTCAAGAGATCGAGACCATCCTGGTCAACATGGTGAAACCCCATCTCTACTAAAAATACAAAA